ATGCTTTCATGCAAGGTGTGCGTGTGTGTGTGTGTGTAGTTTAAGCTACAGGATCAAGAATGTGACTGACAACTGTTTGCTAAAGGGATTAGGCATGTGACTCATGGATCCAATCAACTATCTCAGTAGAAACCAGGAATAAAGTTGTCATTGTCCAGGAAAGATGTATAAAGTTCCCTCTTGTTTGATGATTTGGACTCCTATGAATTTCACAGGAAACGAACAAGATTTTTGTGAATGTTCTATCAGCAGAAATACTGACAGATTGGTCTAAAGGAGACAGAAACAGGATAAAATAAAGAAGACTGTCAGATTTCTAGGATTCCAGAGGCAAGAAATGGGCCAACAGAGCTATCTGTCTAGGAATACATGTTATCCTACAAGAAAGTGGAAGACTGATCCTATTGGTGGTTCAGAGTTTGACAAGCTGCCATTGCCACAAGGGTCCAGAGAGCACAGGCCCAGGGGGTGGGGTAATCTACTTTTCTGTGACCAGGAGGGCAGTATATAATCAGAGCAGGTTATTCTCAAGACTTAAAATCTAATGGAATTTGTTCTGTCAGGTTTCATACTTGCTTGGGACACGTGATTATTTGTTTCTGTCTGATTTTTCTCCTTTTGAATGGGAATGTCTATCCTATGGCTGTCCCACCATTATATTTTGGAAGTACATAACCTGATGTTCAGTTTCACATGTTCACAGCTGGACAGGAATTTTGCCTCAGGATGAATTATTCCTCAAGTCTCACCCATACCTGATTTAGATGATATATTTTTTTTGGCCGTACCGCACAGCTTGCAGGATCTTAGTTTCCCAACCAGGGATTGAACACAGGCCTTTGACAGTGAAAGCCCAGAGTCCTAACCTCTGGACTGCCAGGGAATTCTAGATGATAATCAGATGAGCTTGGGTAGTGGAATGGGTGAAGACCTTTAGGGAGGTTGGGATACAGTGAATGTATTTTACATGTGAAAAGAACATGAATTTGGAGAACCAGAGAGAGCACGCTTATGAGTTTGTGTCCCCCAAAATTTATATATTGAAGGCCTATCTCCCAGTACCCCAGAATATGACCTTATTTGGAAATAGCATTATTGCAGTTGTAATTAGTTAAGATGAGGACATACGGGAGTACGGTGGGCCTCCTCCATTTCTACAAATATTCCTAGAAAGTTTCATCACTGGAAAACTCCACTGGCTGCTAGTGACACATCAATTCTGAGAGTAAGTGTTACCATCTGAACCTGACTAAACATTTTGCTCTTACAAATTGTATTAGTTTACTAGTACTGCCATAACAAAGTCCCACAAACTGCGTGGTTTAAATAATAGAAATGCACTATCTCCCAGTTCTGGAGGTTAGACATCTGAAACCGGGATGTCAGCCAGGTTGATTCCTTCTGAGAGCTATGAGAAAGAATCTGCTCCATGTCTCTGTCTCTGTCTCTGTCTGTCTCTCAGGTGGTTTGCTGAAAATCCTTGGCATTCCTCGGTTTGTAGAGTTCTGTCTTCATCTGCACATGATGTTTTCCCTGTGTTTATGTCTGTGTCTAAATTTTACCCTTTTACAAGGATACCAGACATATTGAATTAGGGCCCATCCTACTCCAGCATGTTCCCACCTTAACTAATTACATCTATAAATATCCTCTTTCCAAATAGGGTCACATTCTGAGTTACTGAAGGTTGGGGTTTCAACATATGAATTGAGACAGGTTGTGGGTCGAGGGAACACAACGTAACTGCAAACTAAAGAATGTCACTCGCCACTGGTTCTACAAGAATTAAGTCATTAGCCACTGTAGTGGCTGACCTTCAATACAACTTGAAAGAAATTCAGGGCAGAGATCAGGAATGAGGCACTCTGGGAAAACTGGCAGAACAAGCCTTCAGATAGTTAGATATTTTCAGGAGAAAATTTTATGAACCCAAATTCTTGCATCTTCCTATACTTAGAAAAACACTAAAACCACTAAGATATTTGTTCTCGGCAACTAGCAACAATCTTCTACTGAGATGTGTGATTGATTACAAGTACCCTTTAGCAAAATCATATTTATGTGGGCCTCCCCCGTTACCTCTTCAGAACAGTTTCTCAGAGCTATCTTAGAGGCTCTCTCCCAGGCTATAGACCTCAGTAAGACACTGAATAAACTACACTCACAGTTCTTGCGTTGCGCATTTTCATTCAAGTCGACATAATCCATAACAGAAGGAAAGCAAACACAAGGGAGGTGTAATAAGCTGGCCCCTACAGTAAGTTACAGGGTCTCAGTCCTAGCAAGGCCTTCTGAAAAGCATGTAGAATGTATCACTGAAAGGAAGAGGAAACCTTCATAGTGGTCTCCACCCCTGTTGCTCAAGGGCATTAGCTTTGCTGTATTGGCAGGCTGGGCAGCATGGGGTTGTTCAGCAAATGTCCCATGGAGTATCAGAGAAGCCACATGGCTGAAAGGCAAAGAAAGATAGGTGATACCTCTGACTTGACATACTATCGTACTGCATCTGTGTGCAGCCGGTGAGCACAACAATGGCTGGAGTGAAATGTGAACCAGAACTGGGCACAAGAGGTTTCAAGCTGGAGCTAATATTTTATCTTTACGACAATGCTCAAAAGTTTTACATTTTATAGTTTATCAACCTTTCCTTTATACTTTGTGTATTTTATATTTATTTCAAGAAGCACATTACCTAAACTTACACGTTTTGCTCTATTTTCTTCTAAAGTGTTTATACTTTTTTCCCTGAAGAAAACAATGTGCTTTTATTGTGACTGCATTCTGTGAATTTAATGACCTGTGTCAATGTGGTTATGTCATGTAATGCACTTTCCTGTCATTCTGTTTCTCCCCCAGCTTCATTGAGTTATAACTGACAAAAATTAGATAGATAGGTAGAAAACAATGTGATGTTTTGGTATAAGTATACACTGTGAAACAATCATCTCAATCAAGCTAATTAACATATCTATTGTCTCACATAGCTGCACTTTTCATTTTTGTGTGTGTGTGTGTGTGTGTGTGGTGAGAAGACTTAAGATCTACCCACTTAGCAAACTTCAATTATACAATACAGTATTGTTAACTATAGTCACATTGTTGTACATGTAGCTTTACTTTTAAAATGTGTCTTCCGGGTTCGAGCCCTGGTCTGGAAAGATCCCACATGCCGCGGAGCAACTAAGCCCGTGAGCCACAACTACTGAGCCTGCGCGTGTGGAGCCTGTGCTAAGCAACGGGAGAGGCCGTGACAGTGAGAGGCCCGCGCACCGCGATGAAGAGTGGCCCCCGGTCGCCGCAACAGGAGAAAGCCCTCGCACAGAAACGAAGACCCAACACAGCCATAAATAAATAAATAAATAAAATTAAAACCTTAAAAAAGAAATGTGTCTTCATTACTTTTGGAATTTATTTGTATGATATAAAGCAGAAATACAATGTTACCATGTGCATGGCTGTTTGTCCCAGCCAGGTTGACTAGTTCTTCCTTTCCTCAACATTTTCAATATCACAAATTACATTTGCATGCATGCCTGTGCCTGTGCATGAACTCTATCCTGCCTAAACTACATCAATCAGTTTTATAGCTTTCTTAATATCTAGTGTGGCAAGTTTCCTACGTTGTCAAATTTTTTCTGGATATTCTTTGATCCCTATTTTTCTTATACATTTAAGAAATTATCTTACTCAGTTCTGTGAAAATCCCTGTCAGTATATTAATGACAATTGCATTGAATTTTAGTTTGAGGGGAGGAATAGATAGCATTGTCATGCCTTTGAAATTTCCCATCCATGACTATGACATATATCTCCATCTCTCCATTCATTCAGGTCCTCTTTTGTATGGTTTTTTACAACTTTTAATTTTTAAGAGATTCACTCCAGGTAAATATTGACTGAAAGAAAAACACACAAGTTAAATTTTATTCAGGGTCTTACTGAAGACTATAGCCCAGGAGACAGCCTCTCAGATAGTTCTGAGGAACTGCTCCAAAGAGGTAGGGGAAGAAGCCAGTATATATGTGATTTTTTTTTTTTTTTTTTGGCTAGGGAATGCATGTAGTCAAGTATACATCTTGGTAAAAGATTACTGCTAGTCATAAAGAACAGATATCTCAAGTTAATGATTAATGTGCTTTTCTATCTATGAGAAGATGAAAGAAACTGGGTTTATTAAAACTCTTCCTGAGCTACATCTAACTATCTAAGGAACCTGTTTGTCCAAAGCACAGAGCATCCTGTTGTCATCTTTAATTTCCTCTGTCTGAAACACAGAGTGCACTGTTGGTCAGTGACTGTAGTGGGTAAATCTTTGTAGACTTGGATGGTGAGAAAAATGCTCTTTGCTCTTCTTTTGTTTGCATACTTAATAACTTTTATTGCTACGATTAATGGGATTTTTAAAAATAAATTTATTCATTTATTTTTGGCTGCGTTGGATCTTCATTGCTGCACAGGCTTTCTGTAGCTGTGACGAGCGGGGGCTACTCTTCGTTGCAGTGTGTGAGCTTCTCATTGCGGTGGCTTCTCTCGTTGCAGAGCACAGGCTCTAGGTGCAACGGGCTTCAGTAGTTGTGGTGCACGGGCTTAGCTGCTCCGCAGCATGTGGGATCTTCCCAGACGAGAGCTTGAAACTATGTCCCCTGCATTCGCGGGTGGATTCTTAACCACTGCACCAGCAAGGAAGTCCCTTGATTAATAGGATTTTATTACATTTTAAATTGCAAGTGCTTAGAAATACTGCTGTTTTGATTATTTAAACATTTTATTTGGAAATATGTCATATGTACATAAAAGATGCAAGAATAAGAACAGTCTAAAGAATAATTCCATAACCCTCCCACCCCAAGATTTACCCATTGTCAACACTGACATTGACGTTCTTGAAGAATATAGTCCCCTCCCCCTTTTAATAGAACTTCCTCATTTGGAGTTTGTCTGGTGTTTGCCAATGATTAAATTCCGGGTTCTCAAACAGAAACACACAGTAGTGCTATTGGTTCCATCTCAAGTCATCTCACCTGAAAGCAGACATCCACCTGCCCTCACTGACATTTTTTATTTGACGGTCAGGTACTGTCCACTTTCTGCCCTTGATATAGTTACTATTTTTTTTTGCAACTGATTAGCCAGCTGTAAAAAGATAATTTCAGACTACACAAGAATACTGCTTATCATTTAAATTTCCTATTAGGTTTTACCACCCATTGCTGCTTCATGTCTCACCCAATTTTAATTGTGATGGTTGGAACGAATGATTTCTTTCCCACTGCATGTGTTGATGTTTGTATATTGATTTTCTGTCCATCAACTTTACTTAGCTTTTAGTTCTACTAGTGTGGAAAACCTCATGGAATTTTCCAAATTAATAGTTATATTGTGGGGTATTTATCTATTAAGATATTCCTCTTGACCACTGAAAGGTAAACTCTTAATCCAGTTTTGAGATCTTAATGAACAGAAATTTTTCTTCTGTCTTTCCAGCTTAGCTGTGTTTTTCTAATTATGTTTTATCCTGCATGTCAAGGTGTTTGTGGCAGAGAGGCAGTCTGCAATATCTCACTTCACTAAGATCAGAGTTACTCAAAAGTGCTAGTCCTAGACTAGAAAAAGACTTTGCACCAGAATATAAATCACATACTGCTTCCCTTACTGAAAAAGTCTTATCATGAAAAAAGTCAGCTCATCTAAAAAGCATACTTAGTAATTCGATTGATTTACATTCTTGCAAAATCTCCTTACATCAACAGTCCATAGGCTATACTTTGACAAGCAGAGGTCTAGATGACTCATTTGAAAAAGGAAGTGGTATCTCCATCCTGAAAAATTCCATGTGGTTTAAGAGTTGCTCCATGTGTGGAGAAGCAATCATTCAATATATATTAATGATTTAATGCTATGTGAAGTGTGGTAGATGAAATGCTCCTGGAATGTGATAAATCCAAGATAAGTTCTTATAACTGAAGGCAAAATGCGTTTTCTATGTAATACTTCTATTTATGAATATAGGCTCCCTCTACTCTAAAACTTTCTTTTGCATGATTTCAACCTCCTGTCCTACCAGAGCTGAAATTTCAACCATCAGAGTTAGGATAAGACATTTTTTTTTCCTTATTCATTACAATTGAATCGTTTGGCAAAGAGATTTTTTAATACATGAAGCAATTTAATTTATCTTTAGTAGTTTAGATAAATAAGTAAAAAGATTTCTAGGCACCCTCTCTTAAAATTAAGGAAAGGAAACAAATTAACTCAATAAATACAATAAAGTTTTTCTATTTTCCAAATTTTCAACCAGCTACAATACAATAAAATGAATTATTTTATTAGAAAATATAACTGTTCAAAGATTAAAAATAAATAAGTTGCCGCCACAAAATTGCAACATAATATACAGTTAACTCATTCTGTTATGGTCAGTTAAGAGAAAGATGGCAGGAGGAATGATACAGTTAAAAGTAAACAAAAAAGGCGGGGGGAAGATATGAGGGAAAGGAGAGCTAGAGCAAAAAGAGAAAAAGAAAGAAAAAGTGCTTTATTGAATGAGTTAGTTACATGAGGTCACCAAGAGGAACACATCCTCTGACTGAGGCACTATGGTGAGACCTGTGTTGTTTGACGATTTTATTGCCCTGGTGTCTTCAACCCAGAGGTAAAGGAGATGCTCACATTCTCTAGGCAAAGGCACCATCAGCAAGCTTCCACTCTTCCTCACTGGACCAGAAGAATCACAGAGTGGTGGTCTTAACCCTGCTGGAGGAGTATTCACTACCACTTATCCACACCTAGATGGCAGGGGAGGCAAAGAACCTTGGCGTCTGGCAGCCCTGCTTCCACCACTACCGAGCAGGCTCAAAGACAATGGTCAACTCAGGCTTTTCTTCTTGAAGTGTTTCTAACGCACGTTTTGTATCATAATTGAAGTACATTCCACACAACCTGTAAAAGTAAATAGAGAAGCTTTGGATTGTACTCTTCAAATAAACACTTTCAGTTTTTGGCTTTAAAAATCTCATCTCCTCACTTAGCCTCACACTTCTAAGTTTTCCAATGCTGCACTTCATGCCTAATGTGGTTTCTGTGATATTCAATATTTTTAACCTTCAAGTTTGGAAATGTTTAAACATGTGCAAATATCGAGAGAATAGTATAATGAATCCCATTACCCATGTTTGACAGTTAACAGCTCATGGCCAATCTTGTTTCATCTATCACCCACCCACTCCTCACATCAGTGGATTATCTTAAACACAGCAGTTCATGCATCTATAAATATTTCAATGTGTGAAACTAAATGCAGACTTTTAAAACATAACTGCAATGCCATTATCACATCCAAAAAAGTTAACAATAATTTCTAAATATCAATATATGTCCAATCAATGTTTAAACTTCCTCAACTGTCTGATAAAACTTTTATATTATGTTCATTTAATCAGGAGCCATATAAAGTCCACACATTGGGAATTCCCTGGCAATCCAGTGGTTAAGACTTGATGCTTTCACTGCCATGGCCCAGGTTCAGTTGCTGGTGGGGGAACTAAGATCCTGAAAGTCGCACAATGCAGCCAAAAAGAAAAGGTCCACACATTGTAATTTCTTGGTATGCCTCTCAAGTCTCCTTTGATATCAGTTCTTCCTCCTTCTCTTTTTTTAAATTTCCCTTGCAACTTAACTAAGAAATCATACCATTTGTCCTGAATCATTTCTAATAATCTTGATTTGGTTGTGTTATGGACTGTTTGTGTTCCTTCAAAATTCATATGTTAAAGCCCTAACCCTCAATGTGATGGTATTTGGATATGAGGTCTTTGGGAGGTAATGAGGGTTAGATGAGGTCATGGGGGTGGGTCCTCATGATGGGATTAGTGCCCTTATAATAAGAGATACCACAGCACACACTCTCTGTCTATCTCTGTCTATCTCTCTCTCTCTCTCTGTGTACACACGAGGACACAACAAGCCCAGAAGAGAGCTCTCATCAGAAACCAAATCAGTCAGCGCCATGATCTTGGATGTTCCAGCTGCCAGAACTGTGAGAAATAAATGTCTATGATTTGTTTAAGGCACCTAGTCTATGCTATTTTGTTATGGCAACCTGAGCTCACAAGACAGGTTGACTGCATCCATGGATTCCCCAGTCTATTTTGAGCCTGTCCCTTATCTCCAGAGTGTCCTTCAGGGCTAGGTCAATTAGCCCACATACAGCAATGTCCCCAGCTTCATCCTGACCAATAATTCCTTTTGTTCCTATTTCTATTAGCTCTAGAAATGGCTTTTCTTGCAAGAAACATGCTCCACTGTGTCCACACAAGGATACAATGCTGATCTGAACTACTGTTTATTCAAACCTGTATTCCAATTGGTTCTTAAGTCTTGAGGCCATGGACAAGGACAGAAATTTCTGGGCTAATAGAATTTATAAACTAGGGGTAAGATATAGATAATAAATAAACAAGAAAATGATATAGCATGTATTATGATGGTCAACGCTATGGAGGAAAATAAGCAGAGAAGAGGAAAGGCATGCTGGGCTGTTATTTTCAGTAGGATGGTTACAGTCAGACTCACAGAGAAAACCCTGAGCAGAGAATTTAATGATGCACAGGAATAAGGCATGTGGATATCAAAGGGGGGAAGTTCCAGGCAGAGGGAACTGCAAGTGCATAGTTTCGGAGGTGACAGTGTTTTTCGAAATAGCAAGGAAACCAGTGTGCTTGGAGCAGAAGGAACTAGCGTTAGAAGATGACTTTGCAAAAACAGCAGGAGCCAGATCACATGGGGCCTTAGACACTGCCATGAGTCTGTGGCTCTTACTTTGTGATAGAAGCATGTTGGTAGGAGTGATATGCTCTGATGTTTTAGCTACACCCTCCATCTGCAATGGTAGATGCAGAGTAGCCTGACAGAATGCTACCAGGACAGTCCAGACAAGAGGTGACAATGGTTTGAACTAGGGTAGGAGCCATGAAGCTGGCAAAAGTGGTCAATGAGTGGGCATGCTGTGAAAGCAGAGTTAACAGGACATGCCAGTAGATTGGATATGTGCATAAGGAAAAAGATGTGTCAAAGATGACACCAGGATTGTTTTGACCTGAACAATTCAGACTGAATTACCATTGACTGAGATAGGGAAGAAGCAGATTTTAGACAGAAGGGAACAGCACAGGTTTGGATTTGGACATGTGAAATTTGGGAGGCTTATTAGACATCCAAGTAGAAAGGTGAGACAAGCATTTGAACGTGGAATTCATGGAGATATGAACTGGGGGGAGGGGAACAGCACATATATGATAAAACCAGAAGACTAGACTATGATGTAAACAAGGGAGAAAGTGTAAAGGAGAAAACTTAACCCAGTGATTGAGTTCTGGGGATTCAGTATGTAAAGGTCAGAATGATGAAGGGATGCCAGAGGAGACTGAGCAGAAACAGCCAATGTAGTAGGAGAAAATCCAGAGGAAAGTGTGTTGACCCTAAAACCAAGTGAAAGAAATGTCTTTAGTGGAGACTGTGATCGTCAGGGCTGACAGAAGTTATGAAACTAATTAGGAAGCTTTTACTAGCGAGGTAATGTGTACCTCAGTGATATCATTGATGATGGAAAGGAGCCAACGGTCCCAACACCCTGAAGACAGGCCAAAGTTTATGGAATTTCTAATCTTGATGTTTCTGGAGCACTTTCTATTTAGAAATTCTCCGAAACAAGACCAACAACACCCCTACTACGCAAGGACCTTTGCAATAAGGATGACCCATGGACAGGTCTAGTTCTACAAAGTATGATACCTTGCACAGAAATACAATTCTCTTTGGCTATTTTTCATTGGGACTTGTGTTTCTTTCAGGAATATGGATGAAAGGTCTTTTCACACCCAAATGAACCTTGATTATTCTAAATGTCTGGATGAAATTGAATACATAGTTCATGACTCAATTATTGTATACATATATAAATCTGCAACTGGCCCAGGCCCAACCTCACCCAGAGTGCAAATGAAGCCAACCTGGATTTTGCAAATTGGCCAACTTTTCCTTAGCAATAGGAGCCCTGCCACACAAATCTCTACAGAGCACACTTACTTCAGGCATTTCAGGAGGCAGCCCTGCTGTTTCAGCACTTCACAGAGTAGCATGACCCCCAGATCACCCAGGTCATTGTTGCCTAGGCTCAACTTTCGCAGGCTCTGGTTAGAAGTCAGAAGTGTGGAAAGACCCCAGCAGCAGTGTGACGTGAGGCTGCAGTTGTCTAATCTGCAAGAAAGAAGGTGATTTCAAGAAAATGTCCCCTTAAATTATCCTCCACAGGTCTTCCAGATCTTAGCCTGCAATATTTCAAATGCAGGAAAGGCTCAGGATTAACAAGCTTGGAACTGCCTTGTGTGCCAAGGGTTATCATTCTCTCCTCTTCAGATGAGAATATTTTTTCCAGTCTACTGGATTTTGCAGTTCAGATGATTAACAGCAGTTTATGAAATGATTTTTCCCAAATTCTGTGTCTCCCCCCAAGATTTTCCTAAAACACTAGTGCCATACCACCCCCACTCTTTTGTGGTAGAGAGATTTATGGTGAAAGGAACTTCAGTATTTACCTTTACACCATCTAAAAGTACAGGTCCTCCTAGTCCTATAATCCTGTAAGAAGCCAAGCCCTAGGAAGACTCTCAGATATAGATGATCTCACCAACATTCCCCTCAACTATCCCCTTCCCTGTAGCCACCATGCATTCCCATCACTGTAATAAGCTCAGAGACTTACTCCAACACCTGAAGCTTGCAGTGGGCATGTAAGAGCCCCTTACAGAGTAGCTTGACCCCCACGTCTCCAAGAGCATTGCCCCGTAGGTAAAGGTGTGTGAGATTCTTGTTTGTGCTGAGCACCGAGCACAGAGCTACACAACCACCTGACGTAATGCCAGAATTCACCAACCTGTAGAAGGAACAGGGAGAAGAATCCTCAGTGCCCAGACTTCCTTGAACATTGCACAGCTGTCTCAACACAGGAACTTCATTTTATCTGAAAAGCTTCATGCTTCAACTTAAAGGCCAGCATCTTGGATATAATCTGAGGAGAGCAAGACTCCCTATCTCTTGCCCCATAAGAGAGACAAATGATTTCTTAGCAGATGCGTTCCTGGGATCAGCAGGAGAGACAGAGCAAAAGCAAACTGATCTGCTTTCCCTCCACATTCCTCCTTCTTACACATATTCCCTCTGACCATACATGTTCCTCACTACCACTTCTTCCAGAAAGACATCCCAGATTGTCTCTTACTAATAATTCTCATTATTATTATATTAACACTGCAGAGGCCTACCTCACTTGATTCTTATACCAACCAAGCAAGGTGGCCGTGCAGCTGTAACTATTGAATCTTTTCTACAGATTAGAAAGCTGAAGCTCATCAAATCATGTGTTGCTTTTAAGGTCAAAGAGAGAGTATTTGGTAGAGAGGGGACCAGACTTACACCTTCTAGAGCCATCCCCTGCTCTATTGGCCCTTCTGTCCATTGCACACTAACTTCTGCGTTTTAAATGGCCTCTCAGAGTACAAAGCCCTAGGTTTGCATTATTTGCAGTGGAACTAAGATTTTTGATGTACTACTCTTGGGTCAAGTTGAGAATATACTATCACCCAACAAGAGCATAAGGGCTCTGAAATGGAGAGCTGTGTCACTCCTGCCTAGAAGCTCAGAGAGTAATATACAGTATACAGAAAGTCACATGTGCTAGGCCTTCAACAAAGCTTTGATTTAAGAATATCTCATGTGGTCATATTTCTTTCTTAACAATGACATGTTTTTAAGTTCCAAGGTGCCTTAGAATCAGAAAAAATAGAAATACAGAAAGAAGTGGTTCAGACAGCATAGCATGAACAGATGACCAAAAGGAAACAGAAATAATTATCCATCCGCTAGTCTCCATCTTCCCAGTCAAGAATGAATCACAACAAAAAAGACTGAGTAAGCAAGACAAAGAGGGAAACGAATCCCAAGAGGTATGAACAAAAACAACTGAGTGGGTTATAGTAAGTTCTTCTTTCTAGCTAAGGGAATTTTATCAGAGGATCTTCAGTGAACATGCAGAAGGGATTTTCAGGGTTTCTGGCTGTCATAGACTGAATGTTTGTAGTCCCCCCTCCTCCAAATTTCATATGTTGAAATCTTAACTCTCAATGTGATGGTATTATTGGGTTGGCCACAAAGTTCATTTGGGTTTTTCTATAACATCTTACGGAAAAATCTGAAAGAACTTTTTGGCCAACCCAATGGAATGTGGGGGCTTTAAGACGTGATTAGATCTTGAGGGTAGAATCCTCATGATGGGATTAGTGCCCTTTTAAAAGAGACCTCAGTGAGCTGCCTCCCCACTATCACCATGTGAGAACACAGCAAGAGTGGCTGTATGCAAGCCAAGAATAGAGTCCTCACCAGGAACCAGGTGATCTACAGGCACCTTGGTCTTGGATTTCCAGCCACCAGAACTGTGAGAAATAAATGTTTGTTGTTTGAGCCACCTAGTCTATGGTATTTTTGTTACTGCAGCCCAAATAGACTAAGACACTGGCAAGGATGAAGACCATTCCAGAAGACTAGAGATGGTCCTCAAAAAGGAAAAGAAAGAATATTTTGAAAGTTATAGAATAGTAAGATTTACTACTATTTCCAGAAAAGGGCTAAAAAGTTTTAGCAACAGCTGTTTGAGGAGAAGTGAAGTGGCAGCAATTACAAGTAGATAGGGTGGTTTTGTTAAGAATAAGTCACATCGGGATTATCAAAATGTTGGTAACCACTGAGACTGAGCGATGGGTACATAGAGTACATAATGAAATGTTTAGAAAAATCAAACAACCAAGCCCTACCAACCAAACCACTAGATGAGAAGAATGTAACAAACATCATATATCTTGGTTTCACCCAATCCATTCGACTCAGATCTACATTTACTGAACATAGATGTCTTTCCATGTACTATACTGTTACTGATTTTTTAAAAATTTACTAATGATACGTCTCATGTCACAAAAATGTCTCACAAAGAAAACTGAGGAAGAAGATTTAACATTTATTGAGTATCTACTAACTGCTTAGCTGTGTGATGATGACTTTAAATAGGATTACTTCATTGAATTATTACAAAACCAAGATGCACGTGTTGTCTTTATATCTATTTCTAAATAGAAAAATGGAGGATCAGAGAAATCAGTTGAAGAATAAGAAGGAGTTTTCTAGATGGTCAGTAGGAATGGGAGAGTAAGGGTAACCCTCAGGCAAAAGGAAAATGGTATGCAAGGGTGAGGAAGGGTGAAAGAGTGGGCCAGGTTCTTAGAACTAAAACTTCAGTATGACTCAAAAGAGTGAAAGGTGTGGTAGGCAAGAGGGAAGAAGCAGCGATCTAGGGCTGATCAGTGATAGCCTTGTGTGCCAAGCTAAGATATACCAAATTTACCCTGATTTCAAAGAAGAACGTTTGAAGGTTTTTTGAGCAAAAGCCCAGTATTATCAAATTTGCATTTCAGAAAATTCCCTCTGTTGTTATGTAAAAGGAAGATGAGAGGCAGAGGAAATTGAAAGTAAACACAAGATTAGAATTAGCCTCTGTTTACTTGTCAGCTCTCTGGAAAGTCCCACTATTCAACAAGGCAGAATAGAGAGGGTAAGAAAAAGGAGAGGGGTGGGAAAAAAGTTACAAGAAATAAAGAATTTTGCAAATGCTTAGTGTGTGATGCTTGTGTAATATTGTGGAAGGGGCAGGGGCAATATGCAGCCAAAGAGAAAGATCTAAAATTCAAGAAAAGAAATGTTGGCTATACCTAACAAAATATAAAATGCCTAAAAGTTTTGCCTCATTAATTCCACTTGTAGGTATATGTCTGAAAACAAATACACACACATAAAGTTGTATATATAAATATGCTTGCTGCAGAGTTATTTGTAATAGTGAAAAAGTAGAAACTCATCCAAAGGTTCATTATTCAATGAGCAGCTAAATATATTACCATAATGTATAGTATAGAGCATTATGCCGAAATCTGTAGATCTGTATATACCAGCATGGCAATGTGTCCACAATAAATGAAAAAAGTAAATCATGGAAAAATGGTATCATAATGATTCCAGTTTGGATAGACAGAGTGTTTGGGGTTGAATCATGTCCCCCAACATTTCATATGTTGAAGTCTTATACCCCAGTACTTCAGAATATGACCTTATTTAGAAATAGGGTCATCAAAGATGTAATTAGTTAAAATGAGGTCATTAAGGTAAGCCCTAACCCAATATGACTGATATCCTTATAAAAGGGAGATATTTAAACTCAAAGATAGACACACACCAACACAGTGAGAACACCATGTGCAGATGAAGGCTAAGACTGAGGTGATACATCTACAAGCCAAGGAATGTCAAAGATTGCTGGTAAACCACCAGAAGCTGGAAGAGAAGTATGGAACATATTCTTCCTCACAGCTGTCAGAGGAACAAATCCTGCTGACACCTTGATCTTGGACTTTTAGCCTCCATTACTAAGACAAAATAAATTTTGTTTGGAACATTTTAACAATAGCAGAACATTCTTCTCAAGTGCACATGAAACGTTTTCTAGGATAGATCATATGTTAAGCCACAAAACAAGTCTTAGCAAATTCAAGAAGATTGAAATTATACCAAGTATATTCTCAGACCACAGTGGTATGAAACTAGAAATCAATAACAGGAGGATAATTGAAAAACTCAAAAATACATGAAAATTAAACAATGCTCTTCTGAACAACTGATGGGTCAAAGAAAAATTATAGGGGCAATAAAATATCTTGAGTCAAAAAAAAATTGAAAACAACATACCAAAACTTATAGGATGCAGGAAAATCATTTCTAATGGGAAAGTTTCTAGCCATAAATGCATACATCAAGAAAATTGAAAGATCTTAATTAAACAACTAACTCTACACCTCAAGGAACTAGAAAAAGAGGAATAAACAAAGCCCAAAGTTAACAAAAGGAAGGAAATAAAAGATTACAGGAGGGCTTCCCTGGTGGCGCAGTGGTTGAGAGTCCGCCTGCCGATGCAGGGGACATGGGTTCGTGTGCCAGTCTGGGAAGATCCCACATGCCATGGAGCAGCTGGGCCTGTGAGCCATGGCCGCTGAGCCCACGCGTCTGGAGCCTGTGCTCCACAACGGGAGAGTCCACGACAGTGAGAGGTCCACATACCGCAAAAAAAAAAAAAAGATTACAGCAGAAATAAGTAAAATAAAAAGTAGAAAAATAATAGAAAAAAATAACAAACTAAGAGTTGGACCTTTGAAAAGATAAACAAAATTTACAAACCTTTAGCTAGAAACCTCCCCCCCCCAAAAAAAAGAAGAGAGAGAAAGAAAACACAAATCAATACAATTATAACCCAAAGAGGAGACATTAAAACTGATATCACAAAAATACAAAAGCTCGTAAGAACTGCTATAAACAACTGTAACAAACTGGACAACCTAGAAGAAATGGAAAAATTCTTAGAAACATACAAGCTACCAAGACTGAATCAGGAAGAAAAAGAAAATCTAACCAGATTAATTACTAGTAAGGAGATTGAATCAGAAATAAAAAAAAAAAACTCTGAGCAAAAAAAAGGTCTAGGACCAGATGGCTTCACTAGTGAATTTTATTAAACATTTAAAGAAGAATTAACACCAATTCTCCACAGACTTTTCCAAACCTCAAAAAGGAGGGAACACTCCCTAACTCATTTTATGAGGCCAGCATTACCTTGATATCAGATAGGACACTATAAGAAAAGAAAACCAGATACCAATTTCCTTGATGAATATAGATGTAAAAATTCTCAGCAAAATACTAGTAAACTGAATTCAGCAGCACATTATAAGAATCATGCAGGACTTACCTGGTGGTCCAGTGGCTAAGAATCTGCCTGCC